AACATCACTGACAAGGCTAGGGCGGCAGGTAGTCTAGTGGTTAGAGCGTTGGGCCACTAACCGAAAGGCCGCTAGTTTGAATCCCTGACAAAGTGAAACATCTGCAGATGTGTCTGTGAGCAAGGCACTTAACCCTAATTGCTCCAGTGTCGCCGTTGATAATGGCAGACCCTGGCACTTAACACTAATTGCACCGGGGTCACTGTTGATCATGGCAGACCCTGGCCGTGACCCAACTCTCCGAGGGTGTCTCAGGGAGAGTTGGGATATGCAAAAAACACATTTCCAATTCACACATACATATTAATACACACTTGTACATAGGGCTGTGCGATAATTTGAATGCATGTTTTTGCGCATTATTCCAAATGCCTGTATCGCAAGAATCTAGGTAATTTTTCTAATTGATTTTTTCATTAGCGTTTATGTCCGCTTGTTCTCATGTTGTCTTCTATTTACACATACACACCAAGCTCCTCCCCCTGCCACTAACAACAACAAAGATGAGATCACTTCTTCCTCTCTGACAAGCGGTTTCAACTTGCTATTTGCATTTGAGGTTTGGTTCAACAGAATCACTCATATGGACACCGAAACACATTGAGACATTATTTTACTGTAATAAAGGAGAAGTTAACCTTTCTAACGATACCCTTTTTTGTCTCAACTCCTCAAATTGCGGTTGTATCAATGAACATTGATTCTGGAAATGTAATGCTCAGTTTGTCGCGTGGCATTGCGGTACCATGTACAGCTTACAGCATTTTAGCCAAAGACTGTTATCCTAGCTGTCTAGCAAGTGTTTTATAAATGTGCAATATGGCAACTCGTTCTCATTCTGAGAAAAAAAGTTAGGCCACTTGACTTCAACATCTGAACAAAGTGGAAAGGCTAGCATGCTGTTCAAACAGTTAGAGACAGACCCTTGGGTTTGTTCATAACAATTTAACTGTTCTACCTTGTTAGCTAGCAAATAGATCCAAGTTGGCTACACTTGAAATATAAAGATTAGCTGGCTACTCACTAGCACATGGGCTTGTACTTGAGAGATTGTTTATGAGACCTGTGTTAACTTTCTATAATGCTTGCTACAAGAAGTTAGAAATTACATTATACATGGTTCAGGTTAAATTTGTAACAAAAATGGCATTTTCATAGATTTGAAAGCCATACCAGTGATTATTGCAAAAAAAAGCATGTTAAACTATTTTGATAAAATAATAAAATTATTAGTGGGTCTTATGGTTGTGGAAAGCCTAGGTATAATTTCACAAGCGGTGAATTCATTAGATTATTGCTGACTGTTTGAAATGCAGTGTATTTTACCTTTAATTGTACAACAAAGCATATTTAGAGAAAACGTAATTTTAATAGAGATATATAATTCAATCACCCATAAGTTAAAAAATAATAATAATTTGAGATACACTACATGGCCAAAAGTATGTGGACCTCAAATGGAGTGGATTTGGCTATTTCAGCCACCCCTGTTGCCGACAGGTGTGTAAAATCGAGCTCACAGCCATGCAATCTCCATAGACAAACATTGGCAGTAGAATGGCCCGTACTGAAGAGCTCAGTGACTTCAACGTGGCACTGTCATAGGATGCCACCTTTCCAACAAGTCGGTTCAACTTTAAGTGCTGTTATTGTGAAGTGGAAACACCTAGGAGCAACAACGGCTCAGCCGCGAAGTGGTAGGCCACACACGTTTACAGAACAGGACTCACTACCAAGTTCCAAACTGCCTGTGGAAGTAACATCAGCACAATAACTGTTTGTCAGGAGTTTCATAAAATGGGTTTCTATGGCTGAGCAGCCACACACAAGTCTTAGATCACCATGTGCAATGCCAAACGTCAGCTGGAGTGGTGTAAAGCTCGCCAACATTGGACTCTGGAGCAGTGGAAACGCGTTCTCTAGAGTGATAATAACGCTTCACCATCTGGCAGTCCGACAGACGAATCTGGGTTTGGCGGATGCCATGAGAACGCTACCTGCCCCAATGCATAGTGCCAACTGTAAAGTTTGGTGGAGTAGGAATAATGGTCTAGTGCTGTTTTTCATGGTTTGGGCTAGGCCCCTTAGTTTCAGTGAAGGGAAATCTTAAAACGCTATAGCATACAATGTGGTCCTCTGTAGCTCAGCTGGTAGAGCACGGCGCTTGTAACGCCAAGGTAGTGGGTTCGATCCCCGGGACCACCCATACACAAAAATGTATGCACGCACGACTGTAAGTCGCTTTGGATAAAGCGTCTGCTAAATGGCATATTATTATATTATTATACAATGACTTCTAGACGATCTGTGCTTCCAACTTGTGGCAACAGTTTGGGAGGCTCTTTCCTGTTCAGCATGACAATGCCCCGTGCACAAAGCGAGGTCCACACAGAAATGGTTTGTCGAGATCGGTGTGGAAGAACTTACTGGCCTGCACAGAGCCCTGACCTCAACCCATCGACACTTTGGGATGAATTGGAACGCAGACTGCGAGCCAGGCCTAATCGCCCAACATCAGTGTCCGACCTCACTAATGCTCATGGCTGAATGGAAGCAAGTCCCCGCAGCAATGTTCCAACATCTAGTGGAAAGCCTTCCCAGAAGAGTGAAGGCTGTTATAGCAGCAAAGGGGGGGACCAACTCCATATTAATGCCCATGATTTTGGAATGAGATGTTTGACGAGCAGGTGCCCACATACTTTTGGCCATGTGTATGATTTTAAGGCCATATCGCTCAGCCCTACCTGTACATGTGTGAAATAGGACAAATATAAGCACCCACCAAATTATTATTATTACATAGTGGCAGAAAACACCACGTCTTAAATAATATTTGGCCTCTTTTTGGTTCCTAAAAGCTTTTTCTGGACTTTTTCTGACATGTGGCCATAGTGCTGGAGCTGCAATCAAGAGCACTGATCTTGAAATTCAACTACAACAACCTACATCTCTTTCTTCCATGTAGCCTCAGACAAAAACCACTATGCCAATCCATGGTTGGTAGACTCATCACTGCCAATAAAGCTGAGCTTGAGTGGGCCACGCTCTGGTCAGGTCAGCTGGTGCACATCTTTACCACAGCATTGTCTGTCTGTCTGAGAGAGAAGTGGAGAGGAGCCACGATGGTTCCCTCAGACCAGACCGGCCTCCCCAGGAGGGCTCTCTCCCAGCAGCAGCAGGTGTGCCCTTTTGAGACGCAAATAAATAAAATAAAAAAGTGTCTCTCCCTGCACCAGCCCAGTGGCCCTCCCCTCCCGCTCCTTTTCCTTTACAGCCCCTGTAACAATGACTGAAATGAATTAAAAGATCACCAATCACGGCCCTGACTAACAGAACAGCACGGACATGCTCCCCCACCCCCCAGCCTCTTGTAGGAGCCCCGATGGGAATGCTCACTGTTTGAAGAGTTAACTCTTTAATTCTGTCTGGAATGTTTCCTTTGGGTGGGGCAGTGCAATGTTGAGACAGACCAATATCCCCCTGACCCCACCCCTCCACCCCCACTCCTCCTTCTACAACATCTCCCCCTCCCCCTTCATCTCTCTACCTCCATTTCTAGGTTAGCAGAATATTCCACACTTGACTGTTAGGGGCAGGATAGCGCAAGCAAACTCCCACAAAGGATCCTTCCTATAACCTCATTGTTAGATCATCTCACCAGATTAGTCAAGCTCAATTCTCCTTTCTAAATCTCTGTATATCTGACACCTAAACAGGTTCAGTATTTGTTTCTATACCAAGACAAACTAACACAGTTACCTTGAGTACAGACTATTCTCTGATAGAAAGAATGCTATTAGAATGGTGGAGTCAGTGCTAATCGCGTGTTACCTCCTTCACCCAAACCACCCAGCCGGGGCCCTGTGTTAATGAGGCACAACGAAGGCCCACAAAGCACTGAGCCACAAACATAGACAGAAAATCCCACTACAGACGCAACGCACCATGTGAAGCAAATGTATAAACACAGCGCCCGAGTCTGTTTAAAGAGTTAGAAATGCTACACCACCGAAACCCAGGTTATGAAAATAAAGACTCTGGATTAAAATACATACGAAAACATCAACATACATAATTCATGAATGTGGACTGCCTGAAGCATGAAAATAGAAATGTATACAAAGCCAGTTAGTTCAAACCCACTGTTAAAGCTACATCTTAAATCAGCCTAACACAAGAGCAACAAACTATGGATATCCTAATTTAAATAATCATAAACTTCTCAAACTGTTATCATAAATCCTGGCTCCAGCCACAATCTCACTAGGTAGTTGTCCACCACAAACTAAAAATAAAGCTGGAATCATGGAGGCCCTGAGCAGCATGTCTAATCTGTATTGAGACAAGCTCTGAAATTAACAGGCCAAATTAGGCAACGTTAACCCCTTAGCGCTCAGCCTATCAATCACATGAATCACATTAGGACACATCAACAACGCCCAGACCATAGCATGTGTGTTCTTGATCGTTTTTTCTTCTGTTAGTTCCTGTATTCTGAATTGAAAAGCAGCACACTTGTGATCTTGATGGTCCACAAAAATGTAATGGATCTTAACTTAACCAACGTTTCAGTCTCAATAGAACATCAGTAAAAAAATCAAGTTAGTTCCTGTCTTGCCAAATAGGATACCTAAAGGAGACGTCCATCTGAGTGGACAAAAGACTGTACACTAACATTCTACAACCCCCAAATGCAAAACAAGATTGGCTATACTTATTTAACCAGTCTATAAACACAACCATTAGAAAACCTGTGTAGTAACTAATAAGACACCTCTTCATGTTGGTTTTTTATGCGTTCAGCTGTACAACAAATAGGTGTTGCACAATGGTTCTATAAATAGATGTGAAGAATGATCTAGGCCAGGAAATTCTGTTGGTTGAAAAAAAGGCTTGTGAGAAGAACTCTAGCCTGCGGCAGGTAAGAAAATAAACTAAAAGCAGAATGTGTTCACTGAACTAAACACGGCAAGAATCTGGCTTGTAATAGCTACAGATCCCTAGTAGTAGCTGTCCATCCAGAATGCCTGAATGACATTGCCATAGCGATAGGAGAACACAAGCAGGATGTTGGTTTGCTAAACAAATGAGATGGGGGAGTTCAAACTGAACAAGGTATACAACATTATTGAAAAACAACAGGTAGTAAGTGGCATTGGAAAATGAATACAAACAAGGCAACAATGTGAAGCCTTTAACCAGGTCATACTGATGTCGTACACCTGTACTGTATCACAGACTAGGCAAGGAGGGAGAGAGGCCCCATGATTCCAACCACAGCCTCTATCTCTGAGATCTGAAGCCATGTCACGGTGCAAAGAAACCATTTCTCACACATTTCCAGTGGCCTTCCCAGCACTCTGCCGGGCAGATGCATCAGGCTGCATTTGTTCCACATTTCATTGTCAAAATGCATAGTTGAATACATCTGCTAAATATGTCCTCATTCATCATACATGAGCCATAAATGAGGCCAAACATTCACTCCCTCCTCCCTGCTCTAAAAGCAGCTCACACGAGAGAAGCCCCAGCAAATGGCTCTAAAAGCAGCTCACACAAAAAAGCAGCTCACACAACCTCCATCGATCGCATCGCAGGCAGCTGCAGCTGTGCAGTCAGCTCCCCATTTCCTGACTGACGTGTTGCTGGGGCGACAGCTGAATTATGCAACAGCATGCATTCAACAAACATGTATTGATGCCTGGCCAGTAGCTAGCAGCAGCCAGGAGTAGAAACCAGCAGGGCTTGGAGTTTAATGATGCGATGAGAGAGAGGCTTATCCTCCCTCCTAGACCCAGCTTAGCTCTCCCTGACTCCCTCAGTCTCTCATCACTACAATGCAAATGAAGCCCTTGTTACAGTCTCCATATTGTTGGTTAGGTCTCCCTTGACAAGCAGAATGAATGAAATCAAAGACGTAAACATGATGAAACAGCAGATAAACCAGCGAAACCAAAACCACCTCTAGTCTACCACTACCACCTGCATTATCATTAGAGAATGCTCAGCTCAACCCCTCCAGTATGTAACTGCTAGGAAGGGAGTTAGCTATCACTGCCTGACACCATCGGGGGCCAGGCGCACACACACACCCAGGGCATGGTCCACAGGCGTGATTATTACTCTATTAATCACTGGGAGATTACCACGAGGAGAGGGGAAGGATACGAGAGGTCAATTAGTGGGCCTACAGCAGAGCCCAGACCAAAGAGAGAGAGAAGTCTGCCCAGGCCCAATAACACTCCGGTCGACACTCCACGCAATGCCTTTGTCCATCCTCTTGTTTGGCAATTATTTACTCTGCTGTTTAGGGCAGGGGCAAGGTCACAACACATGCATCAATGACAGAAAACACAGAAACTCTCTCCACCCCCTATCTTAACACCACGCTCCTTTGACACACAGAAACACACAGGGAGTGCTGTCGTAGAGCAGTGTTTCCCAACGGCACACATTTTTGTTGTAGCCGCAGACAAACTGACCTGATTCAACTCATTGAGGGCTTGATGATTAATTGACAAGTTGAATCAGGTGTGCTTGTCCGGACCTATAAAAAAAAAGTATACTGTTGGGGGTACTGGAGGACTGGAGTTGGGAAACACTGTCATAGAGGACATTCTTGGCCAATTGAATAATTGCATAATATCAAATCAGTGGTAGGTTGTTCCATTTGGTTTTTATACCCTTCTTAATATAACTTTATATAATAGGCTACTTTCACTATTGTGACACCCAGGTTATAGTGTCTGCCATTGCTTTCGAAAATACTATTAACACACTCCCCGCGGAGAATGGTATTAGTGGCATTTGCTGGGGCTTCTCTCCAGCCTCTTGAAGCCAATACCATCATAAAAGTCCCCCTGCCTCCACTGTCCCGCTCCCCCTTCAGCAGTGCAACCTGAAACTGCCACAAGAGATGAGCCATCATTAAATACTGCAGAGCTGACATAATGACAGGAAAGATAAAAGAGAGGACACAAAACAAGCGCAGACCAATTCTCGTTTGACAATGCCTCCCCCACCCCCCAGGCTCAACCCCCTCTCCTAATAAAAGAACCACGCCACAGATAGCCAGGCCAGGGCTCTGCGACACCTCTTCTGCTCTGATCACTGGTGGCTGTCTGACAGCAGGCCTAAACAGAGACATGTCAACTACCTCTAACCTATCGCCACCAATGATGCAGTTTTTGTTCACAGTCACATAACAATGTGGTCAAACTTCATTTCAAAATCAGGTTGTTTCCACTGTGCTCTAGTAATTTGGTAGCTAGAGGTCTACTCCACCCTCTCTCATGTCTGTCTGTTCTCTGTGATAACTATAGCCTACTCTAACCACAGCACTGCTGCTGCCTGCCTGCCTCTAATCCAGGGCTCATTCTGCTATCATTTATTTACTTCCCCTTCCACCATCACCCCTGTGGAGCTACATGTGGAAATAGACAGAGTGACAGTCCCAAAGCCATTTCCCCTTTAAATAGACAGTAATGACAACCTTGGAAAATGATAGTGCAGCACACGCAACGGTCAGTCACAGCAACAGATCTTTTCTGCCTCCTACATTTGTCAACTCCACTGCAACATGGCTTTTTATATCAACCACTGGTGGGCTGTTACACAACACATGATACTTCCCTAGCGCCGTCTCAACATTGAAGGATAGCTTGGCTTCCACTCAGCATTCTGTCGAGCCGTAACACAGCGGTGAGGAAACATTTACCTTCAATTAAAAAGTACACTTGGCACAGTGCAGAAACCACTCAGATGGATACACCACTACTGTGCTGTAGTAAACATCTACCTTCCCACCCCGTGTGCTGCATGTCTGCCAGGAGAGAAATCACTGAGCGTGAGAGAGCGCAGAGTGAGTGAGAGCGAGCAACACACGTGCCTGGCCCTCTGCCAGCACACACTTCTAGGATATTTGGCCACAAAAGCTAAAGAGCGGCTCAGCCCTCCCCAGTGATTGTAAGTGTCTCACAAAGATACTGGCTGAGAGGTCTGTGTCGAAGCCAAGATTAACCCACCCGCTCACAGCAGGGGCGAGCGGAACAATCAGACAAAACACACAACAGGAGACAGGAAAATAGCGAAAGGCTTTCCTCCTATATGACGCTTACTTACCAAGGGGACATTTGTGTTTTCATTACACAGCTTTGTGTTGACTCACAGTGTTTGGGGAAGAGATAGTACAACTTTGATGCCAGATTAGCTGCTGAAGATAAATATTCAGAGAAATGTGGCAATATTTCTTCATGTGGACAAGTCTACTCTTTCATGTCAAGGGCAGACATAAAATTCAACTGGGGATAGGATTTTGAGAATATAGCTAAGAAAGGAGAACTGACATACAGTAATAAGGAGAGAGTAGATTGGCAGTAAGCCAAGGTGGCCTTACCTGTTTGAATTGATCGTCAAAGCTATTCCATTCGGCCTGCCCGTTGGGGGAGGTGGCAGAGTGGGGCCCTGCAGGAGAGCGGCTCTCGTCAGGCTCCTGCTTCACCCTGACGGGTGGCAATGGGGCCTGCTGGGGGCCCGAGGTAGAGTAACTGCCAAATGGATGCGCTGGGAGGCGGGAGGCACCCTGTTGTAGAGCCAGTGTCTGCTTGCGGAGGTACTCAAGACCACTAGCCCCTCCCTCTTCCTCCTCGCTCCCCTCATCTCCATCCATCATCTCCTCATCGTCATCTTCATCCCCTGAATCCCGGCCTCTGTCCTCGTCCTCCCTCTCCGAGTCCACACTGCTCTGGTTGAAGACCCGGGACAGCGGGCCTCCTCTTGGTATCCCTGCACCTCCACCCCCAGGGCCTTGCCCATGAAGCCAGCTCCAGAGGCCCGGGCCGCAGCCAGGATGGCCTGCTGCGCTGCTACCTGCTGGGCGTACATGATGTGGGCCTCGCGGAGCCTCCTCTCCTTGCGCTCCATCTCCAGCCTGGCCTGCTGCTGGCGCTGCAGCTGCTCCATGACGGCCTCCAGCTTCATTCCTCCTGCCGTGCCTCCCTGAGGATAGACACCCCCCAGACCACTCTCCTGTGACATACTGGGCTGGGGGAGGAAGTGAGAAAGACATCAATAGCCAACCATAAACAAACAACTCAAATTACCACTGGATGTCTGGCTTTACAGGTTCTAATAAAAACATGCATAACACAAAGTGGACTATTTAGACATAAAAAACAGGGAAGTCCTATCTGTCACCGCCAGACTTAGTACAATAGACTACAACAAACCATCCCCTTCATGAAGATAACATGGGTAAGTTCCAACATGAGCACAATAGATGAGGGAAAGGCTAATTGGTATTGAGGAAAGGGGAGAACAGGCAAAATATCGTTGATAAACAAAAAAATATACAAAAAAATAGACTGCATGGAAAAGATTGTATGGTATGCAATATCTAGTGTTACACGTCGTAGCCGGCCGCGACCGGGAGACCCATGGGGCAGCGCACAATTGGCCCAGCGTCGTCCAGGGTAGGGGAGGGAATGGCCGGCAGGGGATGTAGCTCAGTTGGTAGAGCATGGCGTTTGCAACGCCAGGGTTGTGGGTTCGATAAAAATAATGTATGTGCTAACTGTAAGTCGCTCTGGATAAGAGCGTCTGCTAAATGACTAAAATGTAAATGTATGTAAATGGATATATTTGTACATAAGTGTAGTGATAGGCAAATTATATTTAGTTCAGCATAGCTGCACATAATACATAAGTTACAGGACCCTGTTTTGTCCTGTATATATATCTACAGCATATTGCATTTATGCTTCTTATTTGAAAAAAATGTATTCGAGTTCATGCATAACACTGAATTGAAATAGATATGCACCACTTTAAGCATGAGCCAAAACAATGTAAACAACATTCGATTTTGACAGAAACTTCGGTTAACAACTTTGAAACAATTGTCAACCATGTAGCCTCGTACAGTTATGTTTCTCATCAAAAAGTTACAATTTAGCTTCAATAGGAAACGCGAATCAACCCAGATGTATCCTACATTCAAAATTAGATGATTGATATGGTTAATGTTCGAATATAATTGTATCCAAAACACATAGGCCTACAGCCTCTTCTCTCCTACTCGCGCAGTCAGTCTAAATTAGCCTTCCGGATGCATATGGCGAGGCTCCAGAAAACGTACATGAATGAGTAAACAGTGTATAGTATCATAGCTGGCTAGTTTGTAGGCTACCAATAGAGGAAAAAAAAAGTATATATCTAAATCATATTAGGGTCGCTGATTACAGTGCACGAAAATATGCATCCATTTCATCAATTTTATTTGGTTATGCACGATTCATTATTTATTTGCAGTCGGATTTACAACTGTAATTAAAACACAAAAAATGGCAATGACGTACGCTAAACTATCACAAACTAAATAGTAATGAGGATTTCAATAATACATATTAAAAAAGCGTTACTTTTGATAGTCTCGTGCTTTTAGCCTATATTGCTCTGCAAATAAAATGTTCGCTACCTCGCTCCCTAGGCTATGACACAACCGCGACCCAGCCAGGGCACAGCGCCAAACAGGGGGAAACAACTCACCATTTGTGCCTTGCTGCTACCAGAATTGTCCACCATCCCTCCTTCCTAGGTTATCCTTTTCCCTCTTCGCTGGCACGGTTTCAATCACTTGTAAACACAGAAATTGTGCATGCACGGGGGGGGGGGGTTACATTTGTCCACCAGCAGATAGGCAGAATGTTGGCTGTGTAACTCTCAATTATATCGTTCTCCACTTCTTTTTCTAATTTAGAGAAAGACGGACACGAAATATGGCCCGATCTCATATCTCGAAAAGCTTGCCGTTGAGGTAACTCCCTTGACTCGATTTTCCTTCACTTGAATTACACCCCCCGCCTAGGCGTACAACATCATTAGGGCCCGCCCAGCGACAGCAACAAGTTCCAGAGTTCCAGCGCAGTGCTACGTTGGTTGAATAGTTACTATGCGTATGCAAATCTCATGAGAATGGCAATCTTATGAGAATGGCAACACTGTCACAGTCCATGCAAACTAGAGCCTATTAAATAGTACATAATAGATCGCGTGTGGCCGTTATGCTGACAGGCTTTTCCCCTCAATACAATTACATTTAACATGTGGATAACTTGCCTGTTGTATAATTAGCCTACCCTACATTTTTGGCAAACAATGATAATGTAAAGCTAAAATGATATAACTATTGCCGTACAATACTAATGCAATTTATAATCCCAGATAAAAACTACTCTGCTGAGCGGTGAGCTATAAAATAGCCTACAAAGACACATTTATACAATGATGCATGTAAGTAATGACAGTAATGTTAGGTTACTTCCCTCGCCATGAAATAATATTGTGACAACTCAATTCTGCCCCCAAATGGATGTGGATGGAAATGTTCTGGTCTGGTACTATGGCCCCACTGTGTGTGTGGTCCCTATTTCGGTTAACGATCTATTTATTCCACGTGTCAAACTCATTCCACGGAGCGCCGAGTATATGCGGGTTTTCGCTCCTCCCTTGTACTTGATTGAGGAATTAGGGTCACTGATTAGTAAGGAACTCCCCTCACCTTGTTGTCTAGGTCTTAATTGAAAGGATAAACCAAAAACCAGCAGACACTAGGCCCTCCATGGAATGAGTTTGACACCCCTGATCTATTCTAATGAAATTAGGTTTGACCAGTTTTTGTCTTTCCAATATACCAGAATACTCATCATAAACATATTCTGCATCCTCAATCCTGTACATCCAAGCTCTTCTACATAACAAATATTTGACAGAGATTAGATTGACTGATAGTACTCTGAATTCTGTGAAAATAACTTTCAATGGTGTAACATCCCCTCCAGCAAACCAGAAGAAAATTACAAAAGGACATGTGTATATTAATTAATTATATTGAATATAGCAAAACAATATTTATAATCAAATAAAAATAGTGTTTCCTATACATAATAATTGTTCTAGTTATTGCATGAAGCGCTCAGTAACACTTGGTATATTGTTTTAACTAGGATACAGAAGCAGATTGTCCCATTAGTTGCATAGTACAGTCAAGTGCAGTGTACTGGCTACTGACCGCACCAGTTGGTGTTGAGTGCAATATTTATCTATCTAGCAACACAGGTCAAGCACTCAATGGCTGCATTTAAACAGGCAGCCCAATTCTGATATTATTTATACTAATTGGTATTTTGACTAATCATGCCAGATCTTTCCACATCAGCTCTTTTTCAAAGCTGAAGTGATTGGTCAAAAGACCAATTAGTGAAAAAAGATCAGAATTGGGTTGCTTGTGTAAACACAGCCACACTGACACACACTTCCATATTAAGTCTGCACTGATAAACAGCAACTAGCAAACACACTTTATCTTTAGTCACACATGTAAGGGCTCGAGTGATGAGAATCACTCATTCTAATGCCTGACATTACAGACAAAATTCTTCAAGATGTTTAGTGTACTCACAATGCACTGCTTGCTTTTAAAATCAGAAGATACCAAAACACTGTAACATGAGGGTGGGAAAATTGACAATTTGCTGAGTGACGTGAGAGAGAGTGATCATAATGTAACAACAGGTAGGAGGTGACTTGTCTGTTCAGATCGCCTTCTGATATCGTATGCATGTCCCTCTGAGTATTTAGTTACTATATGTAGTAGTCCCCTGTAGCTCAGTTGGTAGAGCATGGCATTTACAACGCCAGGGTTGTGGGTTCGTTTCCCACGGGGGGCCAGTATGAAAAATGTATGCACTCACTAACTGTAAGTCGCTCTGGATAAGAGCGTCTGCTAAATGACTCAAATGTAATGTAAATGTAGTAGGAAGAGAGGAGCAAGTGAGTCATTGTCTACAGCATTGCCAGGATGGTAGTGGTTAACCTCAGTGACACCATGGGCTGTAATGTTACCTCTAACACGCAGGACAAGATTGACCACAGTTCTCATTGCTGTAAAAACAGTGCTATTTTGTAAACTTTTTTGGATAAAGCATTGAAAGGCAGCCTGACATAAGAGTAAGTGCTAGTATCCCTATATCATTTAAAGCATTCATTCACATACAAGTAAACCATGTAGTGTCAAAGCCACAGACAGGGGTCTGAGGTTAGACCCAAGATTAATACCAGGGATTTGCAACAAAAACAGGGAATTTTAGGAAGATGTATAAAAATGCCTATAGTTAGGGAATGTTCAGGTTTGTTTTCAAAGGGCTTACTTTGAAAAAAGGGAATTGAAGCAAGACAAGCTTGCGAAAAAGCTTTAGCGTTCAAACCGCTCTAAGACATTTGCTGTATGCATATTACCTTGCATATTCATTTTTTATGTTTAAATGGACCTGGGAGCGATATGCCAAAGAGGACAACAAGACAGTGAACCTTCTCCCTCAGGTTAATGAGTGCAGTGCATGTCCAGAGATGAATCACCCTGCACCTGTCTATTCAGAGGGGCTGCAGCATGGTTAGCATTTCATCTAGTTCCAAAATAACACAGAGGTCAACCTTTGGGGTGACAGAGAGCCCTGCTTGGACAGTGGCTACGGCTTGGGATGACTTCAGTCCATGCTTAAGGTTAGTTAGGGTGTAGAGAGCACTGCATAAACAGTGGCTAGGCGTTTAAAGTGTTAGGGGGGTTCCATGCTTAGACAGTGGTAGGGTTTGGGTAACAGGAGGCCTTGCTTGACTTAGACAGTGGCTAAGGTCAGGGTAACAGAGGTCCAGTCTTTAAACACAGAGCTGCGGGGTCAGCCAGGTCACAGCACTAAGTGCCCTCCTCACTGCACAAAGCACGACGGGGCCTCAGCACAGCAGCAGGCTGAAGAACCCATGGCTTTAGGGGGAATGAGGTCCAGGTCCTCGTCGTCAGGGATCTCATCCAGCCGGTATCCATCCTGCAGCAGCTGCCTGCTTAGGTCTGGGTGCACCTGCACAGAGAGGACAACAGGTCAGCCGTGGAATGACAATTCAAAAAGGTATGCAGACAGGAGGTGTAAGAAAAAGTTGTGAGAAGAAAAATAAAGTGTAGGTGTAATGTTTTTTTTCCCCACATAGCCTATTTAGGCAATAATGGTGATTACTTGCATTGAGTCGTGTTTAAATATGAATAGATTTGTAGTGGACTATAAGAGCAACTATTCGATATGGAAACTGAACCCTGTTCCTGATAGAGAGCACCGCTGCCCAACGAATGAGCCTTTCTATGTGGAAGCATGGTCTGAGTATAGTATGTTTCACACTGGGCACACTCACCTCAGCTGAAGAGTATCCTGAGGAATACTGCTCGACATCTCGCTCATCATCACTGCAAGGTCAAGACAAGATAATGTCATTAGGAAAACTCTTAGGCTGCAATTCAATCCGATCGTGGATTTGGACAATGTGCCATTTAAAGGTCACTTACGATTGAGTCAACATATGCAGCGTTTACCGTGAATGTGGTCTATGTAAATGTGGGAACATTGCCTTTTGAATGTGCATTGCTGACCAGGCGCACTTGGATTGAATTCCAGCCCTATACTTCCTAAATAAACATAGGGCTCTTTAGAGATTCTGTCTGCAGTCAATAGTGCCTTGCCAATAGTGTTTGCCGGAGAGAGTACTTAGCACCTCTGAACAGAGTGCCGGCCATAATTTGCGCACTGTCAGACATCCTCCAGCGTGTGGCCCCTAAAACACAGTGCGCCGAAACGAACTGCAGATGAACGGCAGATCAACATTTGGTGCTATGTGTGTAGTCCTTTACCTGTCTGATTCCAATGCTACCAGCGTATCTTCAGCGTGCTGACTCAAAGCGGCATAACCTTTGTTGAACATCACACTTCTACAAGAGGAACAAGAAAAACTTGAATTGTAACAGCACGAATACCTCAAATTCCATTATGCTTGCATGCACGCCTACAAACATACTTCTCCCTCCTCCTCTCCTCTTACCTCTTTCCTCCTTGCCTGGGCTGTTGCATCACTGGACCCCCCTGACGTAAGGCCTTTTTTCTTCATTGCTTTGCGGGCCATCTCACGGTGTTTCTCTAAAGCCAGGATTCAGTGACATACAGAATAACAACACTTTAAATAAAAACATAGACTTTGACAACACTTAAACATCACAATGCTTTAAACAGGAATTGTGTCACTAATATCTAGGGCCAGGAATGCGCTTACGTAGTTTCATGTGAATGGCTGGGGCTTTGGACATGATATAGGGTCCCCTCTTCTCCAAAGGTCTGATGCTCCCATCTGTAGCCCTTGATCTTGAGCTGCTGCCAGTGCCAGGACCCTTGACATGTGAAAATCAGGAATGTATGAAATGTCATTACGGATTCTGTTACAAATAGAGGATCCCCGGAAGAGGACTACAGGAAAACAGCCTTGCCCTAACGCTGCTACACAACATTGCTAGACAGCTACAAATTAGCCCTGCTATTAGCCTCTCATTTGACTCAAATAGATAACTAGCCGAGTATATTGCCACCAATTTAGAAAATGCTCCATTATTTAAATGAATACATGTTTTGCCCCATGGAGCATTTTCTAAATTCAAACGAACCACCTGCAACTGGTCATGGACATTTATATGGTTGACATTTAAAATATACTTATTTGCCCGAATTGAGACCAAAGACAGTATAGTCAAATACAGGTTAGTTGAAAAATCTATGGCGGCGGTCGGTTTGTATGGGGCTGTCCAGTAATGGACACCAAAAATCTATGGCGGCGGTCGGTTTGTATGGGGCTGTCCAGTAATGGACACCAAAAATCTATGGTGGCGGTCGGTTTGTATGGGGCTGTCCTGTAATGGACACCAAAAATCTATGGCGGCGGTCGGTTTGTATGGGGCTGTCCTGTAATGGACACCAAAAATCTTTGATTATATCATAAAATCATCAGTGTAATGTTTGGATTCAGTCGTGTGTTGTGTCCTTACCTTACTGTTTTGTCCTTAACTTTGCTAAACTCTTCCCTTTCAATTGCTACCATAGCTATGCTTATGCAAACGCTTTTCATATTTATTCTGTAAGAAACATTTCAATTTAGCCCTATCCATATAGCAGTGGAGGCTGCTGAGGGGAGGACGGCTCATAATAATGCTTGGAATGGAGCTAATGGAATGTTTGATGTTGTTGATACCCTTCTACCTATTCTGCTGCAGTCATTACCATGTGCCTGTCGTCCCCAATTAAGGTGCCACCAACCTCCAGTGCAATATAGGCATATTCCCAGGAGTGTAAAGGTTTACCGGAATATTTAAGATTACACAAGATGTTTTGAACTATCAAAAGAACGATATTGATGTGTATTCTACACACCCTCTTTTTAATATTTGTCAGTGAACCTAAACAAGTCGCTGGATGCGGCAAGTAGCCTAGCGGTTAATAACGTTGGGCCAGTAACCAAAAGGTCGCTGGTTCTAATCCCCGAGCCGACTAGGTGAAAAATATGTCGATGTGCCCTTGAGCAAGGCACTTATCCAGAGCGATTTACAGCAGCAATTAGGGTTAAGAGCATCTGACAAATGTAAATAACGTTCTCATTATCTCGTGTACAACCTGTAGTTAGTATAGTTAGCTTACGCTAACGTTAGCAAGTTACAGTAGATAACAAGCCAAGTAACGTTATACGCTGAGAGAATGGTAGGTTGGCTGTCATTTGAAACAGAGTTGCCAGAAATCAGATTGAGTGTGTTGTTATTGGTTAGCTTGCTAGTTAGCCAAAACATAGTTACCGGTGTCAAAACTTGGGACTCAGGCACTGCAGCAAGGAGAGTATCCCTCTCCTGTTCCTCCATAATGTTGTTCATGTTTGGTGGGAATGTTCACGCTTTGCACGATAAAACAAGCATGTTGACTGTATTTCCAACCATCCATAAAAGGATGTCTTGTTATCGCTGCTGTCTTTTACTCCTGCTAGCTAGTCTAAGGATCACTTCCGCTTCCTGTCAACAGAAACCTTGTTGGACTACTTTCACCGTACCACAAATAAGGTTGGAGAACTTCCGTGGAAACAAAGAGCTAAGAAACGTCTCTGGTGATAGTATTACCCATATTTGATATCATTATCAAATTCTGTATTTTGTCTGATTAGTGCAATATTCATATCAGCTTTAAATAATAATAAAAAATAAAAAAAAGTTAAATTACTACACACCTTTAGGTTTAGTGTTCCCACACGGCCATATCTCAATTTTACAGCACTTGTTAAGTAAGACATGACCACCTGTGCTAATTAGCAATCTAGCATGTGTAACTGGGAGGAAGCACACACAGCATTTGGCTCTGTGCAATTCTGCTAGCTAATGTTACAGTAAGTGTATATTTTATTTTAAATATTATTTCTCGCAAAAATGAGAGATAAGGGCCATATCTTTCGAACACCAGTCCACATGCGATGATTGACGTTTAACACAGCCAGCCCATGTGAAGCGAATTGCCGAACACCCTACGGAGAGAAGGGTTTGAGAGGTAATGCAAAACCTGACAGATTAACAGGACCCCTCTGCATTGAATCAAAGTGAATGCTGACCAAACCCATTGTTGGAATTGGATCCCTTTGTCCTTAACTTTCTTGAACAACTATCTTACATTAGTTTCGACTCAGCAGTGTTCTGAGATGCATCAAAGTACATACTACTAGTTATGTTAAATGTTTGGGTCTGCCATTTGTTCATGTAAACATAAGATTCAGTGTGTTGTGCATGTCAGTGGTCTGAAAAAAGCCCATAATTGATTTAATTGAACAAAAGTTTGTTTGGAAATGGAACATTGAGACAGTTGAATGAATGGGTTACATGCCAGTAAATCAACCTTTTACCATTGAGACAGCAGCGTCAATAGATATTGCTTTATTAAATCCATAATTTTGTACACAACAGGAGAGCGTGGATTAAATCAACATCACACAGACACCAGGACAAGGCAGAGACTTGAAGAGAAGTGGTTCATCTAGTTGGACACCAGATTACCTGAGGGGAAATGAAAAGGAAACATTTAATTAGTTGATTTAAAATTAAGAGAAAATAACGTTTCACTATACGGCCACCATACTGGGCCCGAAGATTTAACATGCGTTTCCCAAAACACCACGCAGAGAGAACGTTCGCTAAGTGTATCGTTGAGGCATGTGTCGATACTGATAGGATTGAAATAAAGGCACCGCTGCTCTCGGGCCAGCTTTCTCCGTTTAAATCTTACCTTAATGCTACAGTATGTAACTTTTTGGGCGACCTGACCAAGTTCACATAGAAATGGGTTATAGATCTGTCATTCTCATTGAAAGGAAGTCTTAAGAAGCGGTAGATCTGTTATGCGCGCTATATCTATGCTTCCCGTTCTTAAGTTTAGTTTTAGTGTCTCTTGGTTTTGTACACCAGCTTCAAAATGATGAATACTATTTTTGGTTATGTAAAAGTTATTTCAGAGTAGTACAATGATTCTCTACACAATGACTGCTTGTTTTGTCAAACTGAAATTAGACAAACTATTAGAATTTTAGCAACCAGGAAATGTCGGAGCGATTTCTGCACATTGCACCTTTAACATTAGAATTATTCCACAATACTGACGATGTATCAGCTCCTAGAGATATATTAAAACTTATGGCTGCTAATATTGAGGCGGCTTATTCTAATGCATACCCTTATAACAATGCACTAAATAAAACTCAATTGAATGAACAATTGATTTCAATATCATATAAATATATAGGCCTATGTAGCCTATACTGTAGGTAGGCTTATTTATCTTTTAATGCAGTCATCTCAGGTTTCATGTGAAGATCTTTATCCTTCGCTTGTTTAACATTTGCAGAGACATTGGCAACTTTGTATTTGTAGTAAACTTTGTTGTGAAGTTATCTGGGGTCACAGAGACTGATAAACATCTTGGTTATATGTTTAGCGGAGATCTGTGTATAAAGTGACACGGTAGGGGGGGGTGAAACGCATTTAACAACGCACTTCGCTGTTCTACAAGTGGTCTGAGGCAGTTGGTAAATAACGTGTTTAAGTGCAACTTTAGTAACAATGATTTGGGACACAGCTCGGAGATTCTACGATGCTCCTACGAAGGTTGTAACGATAAACTTAGCCTTAAGATGCTTTTGGGAAACCGGGCCCAGAGCATTCGCTTTTCAATGTGTAAGCACTCACCAAGAAGATGTCTATAATTTGTCCATGCCCAGATCCTCAGGTGTGGAGATACCCAGCTCAGTCAGAGTGGGCTGCAGTTCTTGAATCAGGTATGGGTAGATATCTTTGTGGGGGCCAGATTTGTCCTGTTACAGAGAGAGGATGATAAAGTTCACCATAGGGAATATTACGAAAAAGGCATACAGGTTGAAGATTGTGTACCATTCTATACGTTTCTTAAAATACTAGTATATTATGTGAATAAATTCAAAGGAAATGAAATCCACTTATTTTACATGTTAAACCCCTTTTCACAAGAAAAAAGTGACACATACTGAACAAAAATATAAACGCAACATGTAAAGTGTTGGTCCCATGAGCTGAAATAAGATCCCAGAAATGTTCCATACACACAAAAAGCTTTTCCAATTTTTCCCACAAAATGTCTTTACATCCCTGTTGGTGAGCATTTCTCCTTTGCCAAGATAATCAATCCACCTGACAGGTGTGGCATATCAAGAAGCTGATTAAACAGCATGATCATTACACAGGTGCACCTTGTGCTGGGGACAATAAAAGGCCACTAATGTGAAGTTGTGTCACTCAACACAATGCCACAGATGTCTCAAGTTGAGGTAGCATGTAATTGGCATGCTGACTGCAGGAATGTCAACCAGAGCTGTTGCCAGAGAATGAGAATTTAATGTTAATTTCTCTATTATAAGCTGCCTCCAACATTGTTTTAGAGAATTTGGCAGTACGTCCAACCAGCCTCACATCCGCAGACCACGTGTAACCACGCCAGCCCAGGACCTCCACATTCAGCTTCTTCACCTGCGGGATTGTCTGAAACCAGCCACCCGAACAGCTGATGAAATTGAGGAGTATTTCTGTCTGTAATAAATCCCTTTTGTGAGGGCTGTGCCCCTGCCCAGTCATGTGAAATCCATAGATAGGGCCTAATTCATTTTTCAATTGACTGATTTCCTTATATGAACTGTAACTAGTTGAAATTGTTGCATGTTGCATTTATATTTTTGTTCAGGATAGCATAAAAATAGATTATGCTGTGACCCTTCCAGCTAGTCGGCTACGTTGAAAGGGTGAGGAATTAGTACACCTGCTAATTAAGGAGTTTGACTGTTATTTTTGTACAGCTAGGTGGCTCATGTGAGTATTAAAGTCTGCTTCCACCAAATATAATAAATAGCCCAAACCCTAAAAAGCCAACAGTGCGGTTCCCCTGAAATGAGCAGTGCTTTTTTCAAAGATACTGGAATGTTCAAAAATGTGCATTATTAGTGGATTTGTCTGTGAATAGAAGTTATTTCAATAATTTATGCTCAGCCATCTGTACAATTGACTAATTTAACCATCTGGAACAAAAACACCTACTGAATACGATAAAGGTGCTGCAACATGTATAATGTCTCACCCATGTGGAAGCTAGGTGAAATGCAACAACCCTCCCCATCCCATTTCCCTGTAAAATGGTGGGAGAGATTATTGCTATCTGGATTCCTTGAAACGTCCATAACCGTAACCAGTTTAAATGTCACCTTCAATGGGGTAACGTCAGTCCCAAGGAATCCTGGATAGCATTGAACATGTGGTGGAAGTCCCAAGGAACCAGGATAGCATGGATCATGGTGGATAATATTCTACTTTCAGTTTCGTCCAACTTCAAAACAGCCGTAAAAATGATTCCCTACAGAATTCAGTGATTGTTTTATCACAAACTGAAATTGGGCTTAGTCCGTAGAATTTGATCAACCAGGAAATGACAGAGCGATTTCTACATTGGCCGCTCTCCCCAGTCTGCCATTGTTCGTTGTGCTCGAGGAGATAACCACGCCTCTTAGTGACGCCGATGGAAGAGAGGGAGGGTGCAGTTTTCCCATTTTGACAGAAGCCGGTCTGGCTTTTGTTGTCAAATAGAAAGTCTACATTTTAGAATGCGATTTTGTATTGGGTCAAGAAATGTTGTGAATCACCATCATTCCACTATTACTGCAGATATATACTGAACAAAAATATAAACGCAACCATTTCAAATAATTTACCGAGTTACAGTTCATAAGGAAATCAGTCAATTGAAATAAATGAATTAGGCCCTAATTTATGTATTTCACATGACTGGTCAGGGGCACGGCAATGGGTGGGCATAGGCCCACCCACTTGGGAGCCAGGCCCACCCAATCAGAATGAGATTTCCCCCGACAAAAAGGCTTTATTACAGACAGAAATACTCCTCAATATTTCTGGGATTTTATTTCAGCCCATGAAACATGGAACCAACACTATACATTTTTTGTTCAGTATATTATGGATATTTTCTGAAATTACAATGCAAAGATTCTACATGTAGCTCCTTTAACCGAATGGCAGAAATTGAAAAGGAAGAGAAGATATTTTCCATTTAGACATATGATATAAAAGCAGCGAGTATATCCACAATTATGTACAGTGCATTTGGAAAGTATTCAGACCCCTTAACTTTTTCCACATTTTGTTACGTTACAGCCTTATTCTAAAATGGATGACATTTTTCCCCCTCAATCTATGCACAATACCCCATAATGACAAAGTGAAAACAGGTTTTTAGAAATGTTTGCTAATTTAAAAATTAAAAAACAAATACCTTATTTACATAAGTATTCAGACCCTTTGCTATGAGACTCGAAATTTAGCTCAGGTGCATCCTGTTTCCACTGATCATCCTTGAGATGTTTCTACAACTTGATTGGCATCCACCTGTGGGAAATTAATTTGATTGGACATGACTTGGAAAGGCACACACCTATCTATACAAGGTCCCACAGTTGACAGTGCATGTCAGAGCAAAAAACCAAGCCATGAGGTCGAAGGAATTGTCCGTAGAGCTCCGAGACAGGATTGTGTCGAGGCACAGATCTGGTTAAGGGTACCAAAAAATGTCTGCAACATTGAAGGTCCCCAAGAACACAGTGGCCTCCATCATTCTTAAATGGAAGAAGTTTGGAGCCACCAAGACTCTTCCTAGAGCTGGCTGCCCGGCCAAACTGAGCAATCAGGGGAGAAGGGCCTTGGTCAGGGAGGTGACCAAGAACCCGATGGTCACTGACAGAGCTCCAGGTTCCTCTGTGGAGATGGGAGGACCTTCCAGAAGGACCACCATCTCTGTAGCACTCCACCAATCAGGCATTTATGGTAGTGGCCAGAAAGAAGCCACTCCTCAGTAAAAGGCACATGACAGCCCGCTTGGAGTTTGCTAAAAGGCACCTAAAGACTCTCAGACCATGAGAAACAAGATTCTCTGTTCTGATGAAACCCAGCTTGAACTCTTTGGCCTGAATGCCAAGCGTCACGTCTGGAAGAAACCTGGCACCATCCCTACGGTGAAGCATGGTGGTGGCAGCATCATGCTGTAGGGATGTTTTTCAGTGACAGGGACTGGGAAATTAGTCAGGATCAAGGGAAAAATTCACGGCGCAAAGTACAGAGAGATCCTTGATAAAAACCTGCTTCAGAGCAATCAGGATCTCAGACTGGGGTGAAGGTTCACCTTCCAACAGGACAACAACCCTAAGCACACAGCCAAGACTACACAGGAGTGGCTTCGGGACAAGTCTCAATGTCCTTGAGTGGCCCAGCCAGGGCCCGGACTTGAACCCGATCGAACATCTCTGGAAAGACCTGAAAATAGCTGTGCAGCAACGCTCCCCATCCAACCGGACAGAGCTTGAGAGGAGCTGCAGAGAAGAATGGGAGAAACTCCCCAAATACAGGTGTGCCAAGCTTGTAGTGTCATACCCAAGAAGACTAGAGGCTGTAATCGCTGCCAAAGGTGCTTCAACAAAGTACTGAGAAAAGGGTCTGAATACTTATGTAATTTTTTGCAAACATTTCTAAACCTGTTTTTGCTTTGTCATTATGGGGTATTGTGTGTAGATTGATGAGGAAAATTAAACAATTTACTCCATTTTAGAATAAGGCTGTAACAAAATGTGGAAAAAGACAAGGGGTCTGAATACTTTCCATATGCACTGTAAAATACATATGTTTATTTTATTAATCAAGATATGACTTCACTAGAAGTTGGTAGGGGAAGCTGTGCAGCTCACCTTGACTGCCTCAAGGATGCGGATGGCACTGGCCAAGTCATTCAACCTTCGGCAAGCACGAAGAGCTGAGTCGAGGATTTTGGGTTCAGGTACCAGGTCGTAGCCAATTAGTGTGTTCATGCCTATGGGATGGGGAATGGGATTCAAGCATACTCAGTTATAAAAAATGTTCAAATCTGGCTATCCATTAGTCTCAAACTTAAGGACTGAAAAAAATGACAGTAGAACTTCGGCAAAAGTGCAGACTTATTATCAGTATTCTTTAGAAGATCACCTTTCTTCAGCTCCCAGGCATCAATGTCTGGCTTGCTGAAATAAGTGACCCAACGGGCATCAAACTCCTCATCTGTCTCCACCTTGGCATGGGAGTAGCATCGGGAGGCCAAAGGAGCTGCAACATAGAAAACAAAAATTCTAGATCATATAGAGGTCAAGGCCTGTTCCTAGATGCTTGACTGAAAACAATATACACCCTTCCATTCTCATGAAAAAGCAGGTGAGCCATAACATACACCTTCTGTCAGACATGTCACCTCACTACCAGATGATTTCAAATGCGATTTTTGCAGCCCAGGATGTTGTTTTGAGGACTTTGCCTGTGTGCTCCACCAAAATCTATTCTAGGGGAAACTGACCTGTATACATCACATGCATAATTGCAATATCCCATTGGCTTTGCAAGGAAGAATGTCTATTTACAGCAATCTGGCTAACTGGGTCACTTAAGGTCAATGCCAAGACACTTAGTATATTGACAGCACAAATCTAGCCATAACTGAGTGTAAACAGATCAAGAGCAATAGATGGTGTAGGATAAAACAACACACTGGTTTGACCGCAAGGACTAGAGTTGCTGCGCATCGTTGTGCACTTGTGACTCCCTCGAAAAACCGAAGTATGGGTCATCACAAGGACACATGCTCAAGTTTACTAGCCGTCTGGTGGTTCTAACCATTTACACTGGATCTGACATCAATTTATGAACGTGATAACTATACACTATTTAAGGGAACCAAGAACTTTTACTTTAGATCAAATGCAAATCAATGTCACCCTGACGCAAACGTTAGCTACATAGCTAACGCCATCTAGGCTAATCAGCTGTGTATCACAATACACAACTTACAGTATGTGACTTTATATACTTACCGAGATGCATTGAATTAGCCTAATAGTGCAAACTATATGTCGAGTTTTGTGAAGACTACCGTAACGTTACATACCATTTACGACTAACGTTAGCTAGCTAGCTTGGTGGCTATTTGCTATGGGCAACTGGCTAGCAAGCAAGCTAACACGAAAGGCAAACAGTTTTATGAATAAATAGACCATTAATAGGCTTTGCCGTCAGTCTTACCCGAGAAACATGGTCGTGTCCGCGCTAAACTCCGTACCCCAGAGGTTGAAAGTCGAACAACGGCTCTGAACATCTTGCCGACCGGTGAGAATCAGTGGCTAACGGTGTCGTATGCTAAGGAACCGATTCAGAGAGACGTCGAAAAGGGACGCAATTGCGTCTGCGCAAAACCACAGGGGGCTACGTGCTAAGAGACAACCGCGCGGCTAAGAGTGAGGTAGGCTGTAAGCCTCACCTTGGCCATCTATCAACAACTGCCATTTGGAAATAAATGCATACAATGCACATTCATATAATTACCATAAATACACACTCCCATAGTAGTGTTAAACCCTGCCTAACGTAGTAAATAAACCGGGGTACACTTTTCTCTCCTTTTAACTAGGCTACATTACACACTGATAATTGTGGCTTCCGAACGCAGCTCTAGGCTGGGTTTGCCTAAAGCATCGTAGCACTAATATCATCTTAATTCTATTGAAACTAAATGGACAAAATATTATTTTAGGGCTACGACGCTTTTGGGAAACACAGCCCAGGTTTAAACACCGCCTACCTTAACAGAGACCTTATAAAACTTGAACAGACAGCAGAAACATTTCACCCCTTCAACTACAGTAAGTTTTAACCCATTACTTATCATATAAATGTCGATCCTATTGCCAAAACATGTGCACTGTGTAGTGGTAACATGAATACACAAAAAGCATGATTAATAGCGTGAAACTAGCGGCAACAAACAAATGGTTGGCATGCCAAAAATCGGTAGATTGTTCATGGGCCCTATTAGCCCTTGATCATGACTTGGTTCCATTACATTACACACAAATCATTGGATGAATGCCTTCTTCTTTGGATTTTATATGGCGGTTGGCAACCAACTTTAAGGGGCATTACCGCCACCAACTGGACTGAAGTGTGGACTAGAGACGGTGAAGGTCTAAATCCTACCCAATAATCTCGTCTCCTTAAGGAAACGAAATACATAATTAAATACTACATCCCCTGAAGATTTCCCCAGCAGTTCACTTAATCCCGGCTCTTCAACCCCATTACTCCTCAAATCTAATAACAATCGCTCCCTTTCTCTCACATATTTCTGGCACTGAAATAGAACATGTTCCACTGTCTCCATCTCCTCCTGACAACGATCACACCTCCCAGTCGGATGTTTCCCCACCAATTTCAATGTACTATTTAGCCTTGTGTGTCCCAGTCTCAGCCTTGTGACTACACTTTGCTCCCTTCTGTCTCGGCCTGAGGACCGCCCTGCCCCCACCTTTTCCTGGATCTTATACAGGTGTCTTCCCTTACTCTCCCTGTTCCACAACTCCTGCCACTTATTTTTAACCACTGTTCTTATTAATCCCTTGGCTTCTGCTTTACTGATTGACAATTATATCTCAACATTAGGATGTCTAAGAGCCTGCTTGGCAATAATATCCACTTCCTTATTCCCCTCTACTCCCACATGAGCTGGTAACCCAGAGGAACATAACAAATACCCCCATCTGTTTCACCCTATACAAGCACAGCAAAACCTCATACAATACATCCTGTCTGCTCTGAGACACACATGAATTTAAGCTCATCAGTGCTGCACAGGAGTCAGCAGATGACTACCCTGTCTGGCCTCACCTCCTCCAGCCACTCTGCAGCCAATAGTATGGCCAACAACTCCATTGTTTAAACAGATAAATGATCCGTTGCTCTTTTCGTCACTGCCACCTTAAACTCAGGAACACTAAAAGCTGCTCCTGTCCTCCATGTTTTAGGGTCCTTAGATCCATCTGTGAAAATGTTAAAGAAAGCATAGTTTTGTGTTCTTAAATGTTCACTTACAATTGAATCTACTCCTTCCTCAACATCTCTTACCCTCTCAAGCAACCCTAGATCTATCACTGGTTGAGGGAGAAACCAAGGTGGGATAGCAGGAAGAACCACAGAGGGGCTAAACTCCATCCCAAACAACCCCATCTCTCTCACCATGCAATTGCCTATCCATCCAAACGCTTGTATTTAGATTTTGTTCATGTTCCCAGCACTCTAGGAGCACCTTTTTTTGTAGGATGTGTAACCATATGTCTTTGTAGATTTACCCAATATGTCATGGCTAGCTGTTGTCTTCTTAGCTTTAACGGCATCTCTCCCAACTCTACCTGCATCGCTGCCACTGGGGAGGTCCTGAGTGCTCCACAACATATTCTTAGGGCTTGGGCCTGGATAACATCTAGCTTTTTTAAAGATGTCTGAGCTGCTGATCCATATGCTATACTTCCATAATCCATTGATGACCTTAACAGTGCTATATACAGTGGGGAGAACAAGTATTTGATACACTGGCGATTTTGCAGGTTTTCCTACTTACAAAGCATGTAGAGGTCTGTAATTTTTATCATAGGTACACTTCAACTGTGAGAGATGGAATCTAAAACAAAAATCCAGAAAATCACATTGTATGATTTTTAAGTAATTAATTTGCATTTTATTGCATGACATAATTATTTGATCACCTACCAACCAGTAAGAATTCCGGCTCTCACAGACCTGTTTGTTTTTCTTTAAGAAGCCCTCCTGTTCTCCACTCATTACCTGTATTAACTGCACCTGTTTGAACTCATTACCTGTATAAAAGACACCTGTCCACACACTCAATCAAACAGACTCCAACCTCTCCACAATGGCCAAGACCAGAGAGCTGTGTAAGGACATCAGGGATAAAATTGTAGACCTGCACAAGGCTGGGATGGGCTACAGGACAATAGGCAAGCAGCTTGGTGAGAAGGCAACAACTGTTGGCGCAATTATTAGAAAATGGAAGAAGTTCAAGATGACGGTCAATCACCCTCGGTCTGGGGCTCCATGCAAGATCTCACCTCATGGGGCATCAATGATCATGAGGAAGGTGAGGGATCAGCCCAGAACTACACGGCAGGACCTGGTCAATGACCTGAAGAGAGCTGGGACCACAGTCTCAAAGAAAACCATTAGTTACACACTATGCCGTCATGGATTAAAATCCTGCAGCGCACGCAAGGTCCCCCTGCTCAAGCCAGCGCATGTCCAGGCCCGTCTGAAGTTTGCCAATGACCATCTGGATGATCCAGAGGAGGAATGGGAGAAGGTCATGTGGTCTGATGAGACAAAAATAGAGCTTTTTGGTCTAAACTCCACTCGACATGTTTGGAGGAAGAAGAAGGATGAGTACAACCCCAAGAACACCATCCCAACCGTGAAGCATGGAGGTGGAAACATAATTCTTTGGGGATGCTTTTCTGCAAAGGGGACAGGACGACTGCACCGTATTGAGGGGAGGATGGATGGGGCCATGTATTGCGAGATCTTGGCCAACAACCTCCTTCCCTCAGTAAGAGCATTGAAGAGGGGTCGTGGCTGGGTCTTCCAGCATGACAACGACCTGAAACACACAGCCAGGGCAACTAAGGAGTGGCTCCGTAAGAAGCATCTCAAGGTCCTGGAGTGGCCTAGCCAGTCTCCAGACCTGAACCCAATAGAAAATCTTTGGAGGGAGCTGAAAGTCTGTATTGCCCAGTGACAGCCCCGAAACCTGAAGGATCTGGAGAAGGTCTGTATGGAGGAGTGGGCCAAAATCCCTGCAGCAGTGTGTGCAAACCTGGTCAAGACCTACAGGAAACGTATGATCTCTGTAATTGCAAACAAAGGTTTCTGTACCAAATATTAAGTTCTGCTTTTCTGATGTATCAAATACTTTTGTCATGCAATAAAATGCAAATTAATTACTTAAAAATCATACAATGTGATTTTCTGGATTTTTGTTTTAGATTCCATCTCTCACAGTTGAAGTGTACCTATGATAAAAATTACAGACCTCTACATGCTTTGTAAGTAGGAAAACCTTGTTCTCCCCACTGTATATATCATTTTCAACAGCATTCTATCTGCCCCCCATTCCATTCCTGACAAGCAACGCATCACATTCAATATTTTATTTCCTTTTACAACTTCTCTGTTAATATACTCCGCCCATGTCCTTCGAGTGTCAAACCAGACCCCCAGGAACTTAAACCCTCCCACCCTCTCCAGATTCCTTCCATACAACTTCAAGTATATTTCCTCCCCAACCTTCCTTCTAGAAAAAAACACCGTCTGTTTTCTCAACTGAAAACTTGAAGCCCCACCTGTGGGACCACTGCTCTACTTCACTAATCACTTCTTGAACTCTTCTGGCTGTATGGGTAATATTTCTCCCTCTCTTCCACAGCGCTCAATCATCCGCAAACAATGACCTCCCAATATCAGGTCTCACCTGAGAGAATACATCGTCAATCATAATGGAGAACAACAAAGGACTAATGACACTTCCCTGGGGGGTACCATTATCCACCTCATAGCTTTCTGACAGAGCTCCCCACCCTCACTTGTATTGATCGGCCAAAAATAAAATCCTTCATCCAGTTAAAAACCCTTCCTCCAACCCCCATGTTATCCAGCTTGATAAGTAGGCCTTCCTACCACATCATAAGCCTTCTCTACATCAAAGAAAACGGCTACCACCACCTCCTTAGTTGCCTGTGCCTTCCGTATGACTGACTCAAGGCACAGTACAGCATCCATCGTTCCCCTGCCTTTCCTGAACCCACTTTGATCTGGTGACATTAGTCCTCTACTCTCCAGAAAGTATGTCAGTCTTATCATTATCATCCTTTCCATAAGTTTACATATGTGAGACGTCAACGCTATTAGCCTATAGCTTAAAGGACTAGTAGGGTCTTTCCCAGATTTCCGTATTGGCACCACTACCACCTGCTTCCAACATCCAGGCAGTTTCCCTTCCTGCCACACCTTATTGTAAAGGTCCAATACTTTCCCCATTGCAATGTCACTGAGATCAAATCAAATCAAAATGTATTTGCCACATGCGCCGAATACAGCAGGTATAGACATTACAGTGAAATGCTAACTTACAAGCCCTTAACCAACAATGCAGTTTTTTAAAAGAAAAATGTAAAAGAAAAAAGTGTTAATTAAAGAAAAATAGAAAAGAAAAGCAAATAGCTAAAGCGCAGCAGTAAAATAAAACAACAGTAGGGAGGCTATATACAGGGGGGTACCGGTACAGAGTCAATGTGCAGGGCCACCGGCTAGTCAAGGTAATTGAGGTCATATGTACATGTGGGTAGAGTTAAAGTGACTATGCATAAATAGTAAACAAGGTAGCAGCAGCGTAAAAGAGGGGGATGGGGTGGGGTGGGGGGCAGTGCAAATAGTCCGGGTAGCCATGATTAGCTGTTCAGGAGTCTTATGGCTTGGGGTAGAAGCTGTTGAGAAGCCTTTTGGACCTAGACTTGGCGCTCCGGTACCGCTTGCCGTGCGGTAGCAGAGAGAACAGTCTATGACTAGGGTGGCTTGAGTCTTTGACCATTTTT